GAAACTGATGACTTAGAAGGACTTAGCCGCCCTGCATTCCAAGGTATTTGCCCAGCGCACGCTGAGCTGGCTAAACGCCCATCAGAAGTAGACCGCTTGAGGTCAGGGCAGTACCCAGACCTTGAGCAATTTCTCAAGTGTTCCCTGCATTGTAGAGGTAATACACTAGAGAGCAAGCAATCCGAAGCCTCCCGTATAGCGGCTACCTCTGCTTGGAAAACGCTACAGTAATTCGGAGGCCTGAACTTAAGTTGATGGAGAATTTTTTCTTTTTACATTTTGGAATGAAAACTAAAATCTCATCAGATGTTCGGAGAGCTTGAAGGTTTCTGCAAACTTTCTGTTCGCATACTATACTGGATATTTTTCTCTTGTGAGAGAAGAGATTTCACCCGTTCACAGGAATTTTGTTGCTGGGCATGTTTTACTGGAGATTTTAAACGAACGTACCTATAGAGAAATTTACCTAATTTAAAAACATATATGTTGGTATTTTTTCGGCTGATTTGGTACATTTTTTTTTGCCATTTGGTACAAAATTAAAAAACGCATTTATCATCCCTGGTGCGCATAAGCAAATAATTAGCAGAATCCAAATACCAACAATCAACAGCTCCATGAAAATACTCAAATACTCTCAAGCACAGTACGCTGCTTGTGGATATTTTTCAGTCGAGGTAATTGTCGCTTGCAAAGCAAATACTTCTTTTCTTGCTATTGATCGGTTTTTTACTTACGCATACTCCAAGCGGTTTGTGTTTGCCCGCCCCCAACAAGAGAATGGGGAGATAAAGAGAGTAAGTAATTGCGCTACTAACAAATGTCTTGTTGGGCGACTCAAATGTATCCGTGCAGTGTTTTAGTAAATAAGCGATATGTAGTATGCATGTACAGTAAAACCTGCTTAAGTACCTCACGAAAAATGTCAGCTTTTTGAGGTACTTAGGCGGGTTGGGTACTTAAAAGAACCCGCTTAAGTACCTCGACGCGGATACTTAAGCGAACATAATTATTGAATTTATATTTATTTATATTAAAAACTTGATTTTTACAAAGTTCCTGATTAATTTCGGAAGTAAATTCTTTTCTCGTGTTTTGCTTTGTTTTTCTTCACTCACGTTTTTACATTACTTGTATAACAAATCTGGCTACTTTGTGAATTGTAATTTAGTAACGCTTCGTAAAAATATTAATGTTTTTAGCTGAAAACGCTAGAATAGCGTTTAGATTAGTTTAAAATATACTTTTAGCCCGCGCAATTGATTAAAAGTGTATGAATTTAGAAAATGAAACTTTGGCTGGTAATATCCAGGGCATGCGTTAATTGTTATAAGCAAGACGATATATCAGTTTAAAGGTTATTAACTTTAGTATCTCACGCTCATATATAATTTTTCAATAAAACTACAAGTTGTCGAGATATTTAGAAAAACTTACTAAAGCGATAATTTTCCCGTACGAGTTTTCAATTCTTCTTTACTTCAGTAACCAAGTGAAAAATAAAAATATAAGACGAAATTTGTTTCCAACGTTTTTAGGTTTTCGAAATCGTGGTAAATGAAGTCAAACACGGATTGTCCAAGATTAGGAATCGTTTGATAAGTCAATAGTAGTTTCAAGTACATACCTAAATACATTTATAAAATACAATTAATGTGAGCAACGCCCATTTTAGTATGCATTCTTGAAAATTGGAGCGGAATGGTTTCATTAGTCACCGAAGAAGCATATTTTTCGCGGTTTGTAAATTTGCCGTATATGAAAGTAGGCCCCCTACTTTGCAATAAGTATTTAGATATAAATATTTTAGTTAAATCTATTATGTGAAAAAGTGACTATAGGTAAAAAATATTTAAAATATCCTGGGAAATTCTTCTGACGATATTGCTTTGTATTCAGCTTGAGCGAAAATGTCATTCCTTGGTACACTTTTCCCTAATGGAAATTTCTGTATTGTATGCATAAATATGAGTAAACGACTTACGGCCGGTTACTCAATATCTGGTTAACACTCCGGTTAAACATAGTTATCGACGTTACCGACTCCCTGTTATATGCATGGAGTCGAAGACGTCGATAACGATAGTGTTAACCAGACATTGAGTAACCGGCCCTTAGTGTTTCTCCAATTTTTGGTAGTTAAGTGTTTCCATACTCATTTGCATAACGAAGGCTTATATTCAATACCCTCTATCTGTAATTTTCAGAAAAACTACTTTGCGATGTTAGAACCCATTTTGGAATTACCTGTCATAACTGATGTTAATTCTCACTTTGTAATTTAATAGTAAATTCTTCTGTCAATCGTTATACAAGGTCAGCATTAATATCACCGATGGTAGTTAAGTCTTAGGTGGGTTTTTATATCAGAATCTCATTTTTGTGAAAAGTGTAGATAGAGGGTATTGAATATAAGTCCTCGATAAACAAAATTTTTCTACGGTGATGGAAAATAAACGTTTTCGTATTATAGTTACCGAAATTGTTCCTAAATTTTCAAAAATTCACAAACTAAATATATGTATTAGGAACCAGCGACCTAAATGCACCCCAGAAATATGAATGCTGTTCTCCACATCTTTTGACTATAGACTCGTGCAATTATCAACAGATCAATTACAATTTGGTTGTGAAAAAATCTCCCTTCACGAATTCAGGAGAAATGCTATCAGCAATTCCGACGCATTTATGTTAGTGCTGCCTTTGGTTTTTTTATGTTTTGGTTTAATAATTCTAAATCAAAATAATATAAATTAAAATAAAATAACTCGAAATCAGTGATACCATTCTCATGAATTTCGAATTTGCGGGAGTATTTCGTGATCACAACGGAATTCATGATAGCGAGTTGTCACGTCGGGATCTCCGACGGAATTGATATATAGAGATATATTTGACTTTGTCGTTTCCGTTTATGAATTCATTATCTAATAATATGCGCTAAACCTTTTTGCCGAACCCTGAATATTTAACAAGAATCGGTTTTATTCGACCAGTGTGCTGTGTGTCACTTGGGTTCGATGTGCGGGCCCTTACAATTAAATCAAACATTAGTATTTTACAGGCTTGTTGTCAGAGTTGGGAATGTTGAAAACATTTGTTTAAGACATGTGTTTAAAACAATGGGGAAAAACCACACGTTTTAAAACATTTTTTTTTTTAGTTTAAAACATATATAAAAAACCTTATTCATATACAGTGCCGGACAAAAGTATTGGCACAGAGAATTTTTCGCAATATCTGAAAAGTTGTTTATTCTAATTTATTTTCGATAATTTTTTATAAATATATAGTTCGTCCTACACCAAAATACATAAAAACTAAATCATTAAATTTTGTGCAAAACTCAGGAAAATTCAATAAATTTGCATACTAATTTGCAACTTCTTATTCAGATTTTTTAGAGGAATTCTAAGTATGTAGGTTTATAGCCCAACTAATTTTAGTATAACAAAGTGCAAGCTTGAAGGTGCTAAAAAATCACATTGATTTTTGGCAATTTTTTTTCAGTCCGGTTCTTCCGTACAAAGTATGTTCGACAATTATTTGTTGTATGGAGAAAATGAGCAACACCTTCTATTAAAAAAATGTCCAAAAATCAACGCAATTTTTTAGATACTTCAAACTTGCACTTTGTTATACAAAAATTAGTTGGGCTATAAAACTACATACTTAGAATTCCTCTAAAAAATCTGAATAAGAAGTTGCAAATTAGTATGCAAATTTATTGGATTTTCCTGAGGTTTGCACAAAGTTTAGAGATTTTATTTTTATGTTTTTTGGTGAAGTACGAACTATATTTTTATTAAAAAATATTGAAAATAAATTAGAATAAAAAACTTTGCATATATTGCGAAAAATTCTCTGTGCCGATACTTTTGTCCTGCACTGTATGTATATGATATTATATAATTAAAAGTTTTTGTACTTTTCATAAGTTTTATTGGCAACATAATGCCCCTTATCGTCCGAATTTTTTTCATACGCCCGTAGTGAATACACGGAAACGAAAAGTGAACCGGTTCGGAGAAAATAAAACTCATAATAAGCCTGAATACATTTTAGTTAAATTGTAGACACTTGCAATGGAACCTCGTGAACTCGGGGATTTCCCAAACTGCAAAACTCCCCAATAACAAAACGAAAACATGGAAAATGAATGACAGTTATATTTCACTATGGTACTGTGAGTACAAGCACAAACTCAATAATACAGAAGACTACTTTTTTATTTATATAACGTTCATTTTAATGGTAAACATTATTATTAATTTCAAATAGATATTTTATGATTTGATTCTACCTACCCCTAATTTCGAAAGTATTTAATTAATAAAAGTGTTTAAAACAATGTTTAAATATGTTTAGAACATTTACAAAAAATTGTTTAAAACTTGTTTATTTTCTTTTTTTCCAACCCTGCTTGTTGCTGATCTCATGACACAATATATTTTCACTATTACCAAGGGATTTGAGAATAATTAAACCATAATTAAGCCATGAAAAAACTGAATAAAAATTACACCCACGGCTTGAGCGCATGGTCAGCTATTGTAAATATGGATATTTTTGAAAAGTTTTCAATTTTTTTTTTTAATTTTTCTAACTAAGCTGATTGCGGTTTCCTTGCGCAGATTTTAATTTTGACATCTCTGTTACTCAGAGAAATTTTCGTTTTAAAATTTGTATGGAACGTTTTACTTTTAAAAACGTTTTAACCCAGGTTTTGCACCTACAATAGTTATTTAAATTTTGAGAATGAAAGTTTTCCACTCAATTTCCAAAATCCATGTTTTTGTTTTGAAACGAACATTTTCAAATTGTTTTTAAAAACGATTGTTTGATAATTGAGTATGCGCATGTTGAAATTACATCCTAAAATTTTTTTTCTTAATTTTAAAAATATGCGTTTTCAAATATGATATTCAAATTTTATTTTTATTAAATCACAATAAGTCGTTTGGTACACACATTGTCAAAAGTATATTGATATACATATTACTATATACATACAGATGTTCCTGCCTTACTTCCAAGCTGGGCCTGCTAATTTTGTTCACGCTGGTCAAATCCTGTAATTTAAATTAGGAAAGTTTTAAATTAATATTTAATAACCCGTAGGAATTTGTTTTTATAAGTTACTCTTACCAAAGCTTTTTTGGGTCAAAGAAGTCCACGAATGTCCCTTATATGTATGTAGTTAGTGGTTAGAATGGCAGTATTGTTTGTATATACTTCATCGCCTTTTCTGAAGATTGAAATAACTTATTTATCTGAACACAATTTTTCCGACAAACGATTCAAACATATGAAAGTTTTTCATTATAGCTAAGTAGCTTTTTAAATTCTAATGCAAAACATTTTAGTTTTAAATATTTTTCATACCTAATTGATTGAAAATAAATTAACGAGTTTATTTTAAAAATGTCTAGTTTTATTTTGCTTGTTGAAAATTGTATCGCGCTACAACTTGTTGGGACAATATTGTAAAATGTTTCATTTTAGTTTTTAAAATACGCGTTTTTGACGCTATTTCTTTAATGTCGTTTGTTCTCCTCAGTAAAAAAAAAGTGAATATATTATAACGATCGTTTTTGTTTTGCGAATGTTTCGTTTTAAAGCCGTAAGTACAAATACTATAATTTTTATTTTGTATGAAGTAAAATTATATCAAAAAATTTTATTTTACAATTTCTTTTAAAAACTTGCGTTTTACCTGTATCATTTTCTCTGTGTAGAAATTGTTTTCCACAAGCAACAGGGATCCATGAATCATTAAACCTGATGGAAGTTGCTTTGTATATGAATAAATATTTTTATACATTTACAAAAATATATACTTACATATGTACATATACATGTATGTACTTTAGCATCTGTCTACGCACACACTCCAAAAAATATGAGCAAGCAATTTGCCGCCGTTAAATAGCATCAATGTTACATACAAATTTACTAAAATATACACACTAATGCATACATATATACATATGTTAATACAGAGTTGATAATGCAAATGCTATCAATAAACAGACAGAGCCGAGGCGTGATCTGACCGATGGCCGTCGAAAAGAAAAATCTCTAAGGTACATACATACAGTCAAAAGCTGTTGGAGATGTTACCCTGTAGGGAATACCATTTGAATTTCCGTTCATTACAAATCATTTTTAGATATTGTGTTTTTTCAGGTGTTGATAATTGCGTTTTCCCATTTCGTATGAAAATGTAATTCAAATTGTACTTTTCATCACTAAATTGTACCAAATTTTGATTCCTATTATTTTTCTAATAAATTATTGTTCCTAATAAAGTACAAATAATTGCTAAAAATTTAAAAACAATATTACCTTTATTTTATTTACATAAAGTTTACACACTTTTATATCAGATATTATGATTTTAAATGCATGTACATAGTAAGTACATAAATGTTTATAAACATAAAGATTTACAATGAATGGATATTTTTAAATTTACAAAGTGAGAGTAAGTTCCAAAAAATTACTAATCCAGCAATAATTACTCGTAGTTTCAACTGTGCCTGAACTTTTTATTGTTTCTACATTAAGTCTATTTCGACATACATATTATTGTTATTAATTTTTGTGTGGAGAGGATCCTTTTAACATTGGCTGAAGAATGTGCAATCGACAACACTCCTTGAGAGATATTATGGCTCATTTAAAAAATGTTTGGTGATTCTTACTCTTTCCCAAAGCTCAAAAATATTGACGTTGCCAAAATTTTTCAAATCAAGGTGTTCAGCCAAGGCCCTAAATTCTGTGTTGCTGTCTTCTATTCTAGCAATTTCACATTTCTGAAACAATTAAGTAGTGGAGCGATGCTTTGCTTATTGCCTCATAATACAGAAGAAGAGTTCAGTTTTAAAGCCCACACAAAATTGTTTTACGTTTTTTCTAAAATGTAGAACATTTTCTTCTTTCAGTTTTTCTTCTTTTTTGACAAATGAACATTTCTGATTCAGCTCCACAATACACGTCCTGTATATCAATTTTATGCGATTCTAAATCCATCATCTAACTGCCCGTCCCCACAGGATAAAATTTATATCTTCATACATGTGTATGTTAGAATATGACTAACCAGTGGAGACCGCTCATTGCTCTTCAAGAGCAATATGTATCAGAGCTTATATCTTGCTATCTATTGCCGGCAATTTGGTACATTTTCATTTGCACGAAAACTTCATGGCGGCAACATTAATGATATTTTAATATAAATGCAAATTTTCTGTTAAAATATTTGTAACTATGTACTTGTATGTAAAATATCCGATTTTCTAAATTTTTTAAGCGATTAAATCTGGCTAAAATACGTTTTACATTTATCTTACAAATGCTTGTTTATATCAAGATATAAAAAGCCCACACAAATATTGCCACTGATATAACTTATATCTTGCGACCAAAATGACAGCTGAACAACAATGAGTTTTATCCTGTGGAGACGGCCAGTAAGAAATTAATCAAAACGGTGCTGTATAACTTAACGAGTCAGGTGCTGCCAAATTTTGTTAGATGAAATTGTACTTAAAAGTGCTGGGTAGTAGGAAAGTAGAAATTACTTGAAATTGTATCAGAAAAGTACAATTGTATCGAAATTATCAACACTACTTTTAGTAGAAATATTTAGAACGAAATTGAAGTTCAAAAAAGATAATCATGCCTACATTACAGTATCCGATGGATCTAATCTGATTCGCAAGTCATAACAAGCGAGCGTGAATAATTAAGCTGCATTTACATGGGGCTCGGGTAAAAAGCGATTCGAAAATAGGCATGAATGAAAAGTTTGAAGACTACACTTCTTTTCTTTCTTTTTTGGCGCTGTAACCGCCTAAGCGATTTTGGCCGAGTTCAGCAAAGCACGCCAGTCGTTTCTCCTCTGTGCCAACTGACGCCAATTGGAAACGCCAAGTGAAGCCAAGTCCTTCTCCACCTGATCTTTCCATCGCAGTGGGGG